TTGAAAGTCATTAACAAACGTTATCAAGTGTATGCCATTTTGCTATTTCACTTGCAGCTACTTTGTCCTACTCGGGTAATTACAAGGATATGTCCCACCAGTAGCGTTTAACCTGACAGATATCTTGACAGAAAGAATGCAAGATTCAGCCAAGGCAGACAGGCCGCGGCTGAGCCAGCAGAACTGAGTAAATCACTGATGAGTGATGCAATGAATTTTGACACCAAGCAGATGCAGTTTGCTATTTAGTTTACTATATAAGAGATTCCCTAACACCAACTTAGACCAGCTGCAGCTGGGATCAGTTGCGACTAGAACCAACTGGGGCCAGTGGCAACTAAACATGTGTACCTTAAGCCAGTTCAACTGGGTCCAGTTAGGACCCAGTTAGAAATTTTCACCCTGGTAAATTGCAGAAATTGCAGATTTCGGAGGTGCTTCAACACATGCACACACGAAATTTGTAAAGATGCATCTTCCTTATAGCTCTTCGCACAAACTTGCTCTTCGCACAAATAAATGGGCCGCTCTTCAAAGGCACAAATGAGGATCCACCTCGCAGGCTGCTATGATGGCGAATCGAAGCTTTTCCTTTTCTGGAGGTATGTAAAAGACGTGAGTCTAGTTGCTGATCGCGCCATTTTCTACCTGATCCTCTTCCATATAACCGACTTCAAAGGCGGCCGTGAGCCGAACCTCTAACGGAACGTTCTCCGGACCTTCTAAAGCTTATCAGTGTACTGTAGCATACCACAACCTGGCTCAGGTACTTGAGCGTTAATTGGCGTTTCAGGAATGTGAGTTTGTAATAAAATAAGGTAAACCGGAAGCAATGAGTGCAAGATTCGAGTATATGACTGTCGACGTTCGTAAACAAAGAGGCACCCGACGTCTGATTCAATATTTGTCGTAAAATTTTTATTTTCATTGCACCTCCGAATAAGTAAACTTTCATATTCTTTATTCAGTTTTGTTTTCTTTGTGATCATGAGTGCTAGAGTTGAGAGGAGGCCTACGTTATTTTGACAAGTATCTTTATTGCGCCCCCAGCCATTTATATCAGAGAACCCACTCCATCTGGTCCAGTGAGCTGAGCCAGGAGGTGGCGCCATCTGAGAGATCCATTCGAAAACCGCCTTGTCCCCTCTGCTTCTCCAGCCAGGCGGCGTTTCTCGCAGACCAAACCAGTTTTTGGATTATAACTTTTGATAAACATGATGGTAAGTTCTGATACATTAGAGCGTATTAGCGAGTCGTTTTTGAAGCACACGGTTTTTAGATCATGAGCGGTGCAGTTGATTCGCTTCGTGAAACCCTACGTGAAACCGTAAGTGAAATTTACATGTTTTAGCGAATCGTAAAACTGGCGCACCCGTGTAAACGATGTCCATGATAGCGTTTGACTGGCAACGCCACCTTTTGGTACACATGTAAAACATTCTGTGGGAACTCGTGTTTCCGACGTACGATGATGTCGTAGGCACTCATTTGAACGGTGCGCGATATAAAGACAAGAAGGACAAGCGTGTGCTGCGAGACCAGCCAAGGAGCTCAAGATACGGAACGATCGGCGGGACATAATAAGCTCTCTGTGGTCTCAGCTACCGTTCATGGGTTCCGCACATCTAATGTAAATATTGTGAAATATTGTAGATACAGCATTAAAGAGTAAAGTACCGCGTACTTAGAAATTGGTGACCCTGACGTAATGGATTACGCATCTGACCTTTGTACAACAATGCAACAACTCAGACCTTCAGTAGATTGCAAGCAAGCCACCGCTGAAGTCTTCATAAACCAAGGCCTCCATACCTGTTCGCACGTTATCCTACGACATGACGCGGTGCGAAAACCGTTACAACCACCTTATGACGACCCCTTCAAGGTACTCCGACGACATCCTAAGTACTTTCACGCTGCAAATTAGCAACCGAGAAGAAAATGTCTCATTGGACCGACTCAAGCCTGCCTATCTCGATACCAACCGGGCCTATAAACAATGCGCACCAAAACCAGTCATCACGTAAACGAACAGACCAAAAACCGTCCGATTTTCAAACTCTCCAACCACCTGACCCGCACACCATCTCGAAGCTTGTTCGGACTCCGCTTCTAGGGGGGGGAGCTAGTGTAGGAACCTATTTGGACGGTGCGCGATAGAAGACACAAAGGACAAGCGCGTGCGGCGAGACCAGCCAAGGAGCTCGAGATACAGAACGATCGGCGGGACAGAATAAGCAGAAAACGAGCGGGTTGGTATGGATAATTAAACTTGAGGGAAAAAAACGAGACGGGACATTTTAGTTTTCCTCAATTCTAATTATACATAATAAGCTATCTGTGATCTCAGCTACCGTTCATGGATTCCGTACATCTCATGTAAATATTGTAAAATATTGAAGATCGAGTAATAAAGAGTATAGTACCGTGCCTACAATGTAGACAAGACGGCCGACGTAGCATTTACAAGCTGGAATTTCAAGACCTGGGAAGCTAAATAAAGTGAAAAGTGTTTGAACAACTGCAAAGGTTGGTGGTGTGTCTCCGTCATCTTGAACTTCAACGATCGTTTGCGTTGCGCGCCGTTGAACCAAATCATTTCTTCTGCACGCGGTCGCCACGGCAGCTAGTCAGCCCGCAGATAACAAACAATTACTAGCATGCGTAGTTCACAGCATTCACGATCGCTTACCATTGCGAGCAGACCTCAAAATGTCTTGGGCCAACCTCTTAAATGCAGCAGAGCAACAGGATGGCAAATCGCCTCCCGCTGTCCTTAGCCGAAAGTTCGGCTAGGTCGGCGAAGTCAGTCACCAAACCGACCGCCATCTTTTTTACCTAAGACGTGAACGGTGCTGGCTGTGTTACGCTGACAACTCCAACGGCCGGAGTGGGGAACGAATGAGAAGCTCATCCCGAATCCTCCAATGACTCGCACGCCCATGCGCAGTGGCATCGCCAATGTGTTCGAGGACAAACCGTTCGTGTGGAAACGACTCGGTAAAACTACCTATTTTGCATCTGGTCCCAACCGCTAGCGCTGCATTTTGGCGGTGTCTAAACCTTCGGCAAGGCGTAGCTTATTTTCGCGATGCGGCGACATGGTTCTCGTTTCTCGGGAACCTCCTCTACTTTCTTTAATTTTATTTCAAGGGTGCGAAGCGGGCAAAGATAAACAGCCACGCGTCTATTCTTTCCGACCCCTAAGGTAGATGCGTGACTTCGACAGCATGACCGTCAAAAGTAAATCAATATCCAGTATATCAATCAAACTCCGTAATATAATGCTCACATGAAATACATACCACGCAGGTGCACTCTGTTTTTGAGCCCTATCAGGGCGTAAAATAATCTTTATATAAATAAACCAATGAAATGTTTTCACAAATTGTTTTAGGTGGTGCATTTCATAAATCTATATTTTATAATTCTAGATTTAAAAAAACAAAAAAAAATTCTCACATCCTAAAAGCACCTTTTATCCTATGTACAGGAAGGAAAACTGCCAAAATAATTCTGGCTGACGCTGCAACTCAAAGGTGGTGCTACACACACTCGGTTTAGCTGAATCAGCTTATATGTATTCATCTAAGAAATGCTTTCACCTTTTTGTTTTATATTTTGCCATTTTCGAATGGCGGCGTCAACCAAGCGGTTTTTCTCGCTTACATACCTGTACATAAGTAAAAAGAACGGCTTTGCAGTATCTGCGTACACTTGAAGAATGATTTATTTAGGCTATTTATAAACCGTATGCATGCTTTAAAGAAATGTCGTTTCATACCTGACACTGAGGTGCAGAAAAAAAGAGCACAAAAAAGAAAACGTTTAGCCGAAGTACGAGACACGGAAGGGAACGTCTAAATTGTGCGTCTGTTCCTTCGACAAAAAGTTTTAGAGTGCAGCTCCAAGGCGCCCGTTCCCGGCTTGAGCGGCATTACCATCCGCGGAACCGCACGCGTTGAATAATATGCAACCTTGCGTAACAGCGCGTTGCATTATGGGAAAATTTCCTCGCTTAATTTAGCGGGAAAATTTCCCTGCTAAATTTAGCAGAAAATATTCCGCGCTAAATTTAGCGGATAAATTTCCCCGCAAAATTTAGATGAAAAAAATGCCCGTTAAATTTAGCCGAAAAAGTTCCCTGCTATATTTAGCCAACAAATATCCCCGCTAAATGTAGCGGAAAAATTTCAAAGATAAATCTAGCGAAAACATTTTCCTGCTAAACTTAGCGAGAAAAAGTTCCCCGCTAAATTTATCGGAACGAAGTCCACGCATAATTTAGCCGAAAAGTTTTCCTCTAAACAGGGAGGGGAGGAGGAGAGGAGGAGGGGAGGATACAAAAAGGGAGGAGGGGCATAGCCTCCCCTTCTCCTCCTCAAGAGCTGCGCTCTAATTCGGCATTACAGAGAATTGCAAACGCTTTCATTTTTTCTTCTTTTTTTTTTTCTCCACGACAGTCTCGGTGTTAAAATACATGGTTAGCTGCCACCAGCTCGCCTGCGCACTTAGTCTTTTCACTAATGGTTAAAATTTTTTTTTTCTTTGTCTGAGGGTTACGCTATGATGGGCTTGTATTTCACACAGGCGCTTAATTGGTGTAATTGCAAATATAATTAAAATATTTATATTCAGCCGTAAAATATCTGTGCAATTCAATTTATCCCACAAAAGCAAGAATTTTGTTTCTTTCGTACGACGAGATGTACCATTAAAATGGTCGAAAAAGCGTACTTTGGCATTTTTATTGCATTGTATTTTCCACCTTGAGTAGCCACAGCTAGAAAGGGGTATGATAAAACTGCTCACGAATGTGCTTTTTAATGACCATCCCCTTTTCTTTTTTCTTTTAAAGATAAAATCCCGATTTTCTTTTTATCTTGCCCTTTACCTGCACCTGTCTTAATGAGCACGAAAATAACAAGAACACTATATAGAATTTTAGTTTATTCACAAAAACATCGCTGACAGATTTTTTAAATAATATTGGCCTTGAATTAAAGGTAGGAGCCTCCAGACATTAGGACGCTGGATCCTGTCATGTACGTGCTCCTCGGGCCGCACATAAAGACAATAGTTTCGGAAATTTCAAGCGCTGTTGCCATCCGCTTCATTGGAATCGTCGAAATTATGCGCTGTTTGGTGGCGTTGGGGGTACTCTGTGTCATGGGTGTGTCCGTGTAACCAGGTAGGATAGCGTTCACGCGAATTCCTTTGAGCGCAACTTCTAACGCCACAGATTTGGTAAAGGAGATGACGGCGCCCTTCGAAGCCGAATAGGCACTCAGGAACGGGTAGCCGCCCTTGCCAGACACGCTGGCAATGTTTAGAATGGCCCTGCCTGTAGCATTCTTCTGCAGCATCAATCTCACAGCTTCTTTTGTAACAAGGTAAGTACCCTGAAATAAAGTGAGCTGTGTTAATGTTTTCAAGGCGACATGTCGCTGACTCGCTCGTGCGTGCCACAGATCAATCAAACCATTGGAGTTCATAAAAACAGAATCTGCTATTGATAGTCTGGGTATAAGACACCACACGACTGTACTAAATTCGTTTTCGCATATGTGCAAATTATACAATATATATTATTAGGATGATTTTCAAATTCAGCCCAAGCGTATCCGCCGAATAGCCTTCAAATAAAATTCATCTCCATTTTAAATTTCTAGCTCACTTTCAAGCTTTTTCAAGATTTTTTTTTTCTTGGGGGGGGGGGGGGAGGTAACAGAGATGCCACATTAACTACCGCGTGGTCGCGCTGAATTTAACCCTGCATAAATATATAAAAAAACTCTACTTTGCATGCCAAAAAATCTACGTACTATAAAAGGGAGGCGAAGCACTGGATTCGTTCCGCGAAAATGATGATGAAGCTTGCCCGAATCGACCAAATAAAACTAAACCTTTTGGAATGTCTAAATAGAAAATAAATATCTTTCCAGTCAAATTAAACAAACGTTTTTTTAAGCTATATTGGCATTTGATTTGAGAAAAACAAAACAAAGACTAATCTATTTTTTCTACCTTTTTTCAGTTTACGATAAATCAAACATACTCACAGCCTTCTACACTCTTTATTTTATATTTACTTTACCTTCAGAAAAGCTTGAAGCCCTGCATATTTAGCAATTTAAATTTATTTACTGTGACTTCCCATTCAAGCAAGTGTCTCCTTCGACTTAAAAAAAAAAAAAAACCTACCACTTGGCATTAGTTTCCTGGCACATCACCATGTCGTATCCTGCAAGGCTAAGATTTGTAATTATTTAAAAGGGTGCGCATTCCGCTTGCGCTCATGGTACTATTGCTGAAAGTGGGGTTTCAGTGAAATACGACCTAAAGTCTGCACTAACGCTCATTTAAACCTCACAATACTATGTGTTTTTGTGAAAACTTTATTATTTCTTTAAAAGATAACCTGCCTACCAATATATATAATACCGAAATAGTTTGCTGGAACTACATATCCTTCAATCACAACAATACAAATGTAAAAAAAAATTATTTTTACAATTTGTTATTTATATTTTACTTGAATGACGCAAGCGCACTAGATACAAGAGTAGGGGGTATATGAGTTTAGCAATCTAGTTATGTGGTGTATACGGGCAATCCAAGCTTTAAATCTGAAAGCTTACACTTAGAGCAATAAATTCACCAGCATACTAAATTGGCAAACCACTGGCGTGTAGATCGGCACTGCGATATAAATATAGATAAATAAGTCTCACGTAACAGACCTTCAACCGATTGCAAAATGTCCATACATTATAAAACCATAATGAAAGACTGAAGTTGCCCTCTTTCACGGTTTTTCGAAACTCTCATAACCGAGAAACTTTAACGCTGCAAAATTCATATTTGCAGTTTTCGTGGGTTTTTGCTCTTCAGTGTACATTTTTGTGGAAAGTTAATGCAAAATCGTGTTAACTCGTTTTTTTTTAAGTTCAGCATGCAATTCGTTTGTACTTAATGAACGCAATAGGTTTTCTCCGCTCATGGCTGCCCCATCAAGTAAAAACAAGAAACGACCACTAGTGTCAGCTATCGAATTGATTGTGTTATAGCAAATATTGTTTTCAGTTGACCAGTACGACATATGTAATTTCATCCCACACTGTGCGAGAAATTCGGTATCATGTTATACGAACTCAATATTAGCAAGCATTTAGAAGGAGTCGCAATCACAGTTAGGGCATTCATGATACACGAGTGTACAACACCATACTGCACCCAATCTGTGGTCACGAAGTGGTGGTAAAAAAGACTGCCGTTGAAGCCACTTCTATAAAAGTTTTTCTAGGCAAGAAGCGGTTTTAACCCTACTTACCTTGTTTACACAAATTATACTATGTTTAGGTGTTCCGTGCAAAAAAAAAAAAAAGACATCTAAACACAGGTGAGCCTTAGGATCAGTACTTTATTTTTGCAACACAGAAATTCACTAGTTGAAATAATCAAGTTTCGCAAGTAAGCTGGCCTCTTTGTATTCATGGCCTGAGACTGAACGGCATGAAGCGGATTGTGCATAACTAAAAATAATGTTAAAAATCTTTTTATGCAGCATGAACTTTTTGGCATAGTTTACGTGTGTTATTAAATCGAACTCCAAGTTTTATTTACAAGGTATAAAATTGAGAAACTTCAAAAAAATGTAAAGTTCTGCTTGACGAAGAATATTATTTCAATAAAAAGCTTGCCGCCTCAAATAAGACATTTTGTTCCAGATTTTAAAAACACAATAACAAAATAAAGCTCTTTATGCTGTGACCTGTATAGCTTAGTCAAGGTTAACGAATTATTTGTTTTATAGAACAAATAATTCGTTAACTTCGAATGTTGTATTCGTTTGTTTTATAGAACAATAATTCGTTGTGTTATATATTAGGGGAATGCAGCTAAATTTTAGTACTCCTTCAGTTTTCGTTACACAACAATGGCTTAAAATGCGGTTTAAATTGATGTCGGAAAGTGTATTTGTTAGAATAAAAAATAAAACCATTGCTCAATGCGGGTTTTGTTTTCATTTCTGGCCAAATAATCCTGTCGTCAGTCCACTAGTACTTTTAACCGAGCGACAATAATTAGTGGAAACTTTAGTTTACTAATACGAGGAACAAACGCAGCACTTCAGTAAAACTGTAGCCTGACAAGTGCACTTTACTCACCTTCAAATTGACACCAATCACCTTGTCGAAGACAGCTTCCGGTACATTTTCCACGCCTAATGCATTGTGAACGATACCAGCGCTGTTAACAACAATGCTGAGGGACATCTCGTAGGAGCTGGCGACTTGTTGAAAAAGATTTGTGACATTCTCCTTAATTGTAACATCGGTATGAATTGCCGTGTGATTTCTTTCTCCTGTAGATTGAACATGTGAAAAGAAATGACCAGCGTATATTATAAAAATAAGACACAAAGAACCACATATATTAAATGTTACATTCATGGTGCAATGGAGCACTGGCACTCTAGCTGGAAAATTTTCGTTTATCTGATATGCAAGAAAACTTTATGCAACATCATCTAACTACTGCGCATTTGGAGCTGCGCTAGCTCTGCCGAATATCGTACATAGGGCTAAAAACGCCCAGTTAAAAGGGGCCTACTGAGTTTGAAGCAAATTCCAGCTTTACAAAAGATTTAAGACGGCTTTTGTTCCCCAAAGGTTTTCGCTACAAGCGGGAATAAAGGTCGGTGCTTTATTCACAACTGTTAAAAAAATTACTTTACTGTACTCGAAGACAACTCTTATTGCCAATGCAGTCAAAGCTACGAACACGCGTGCCATTCCCCGTTTTTAGCTCTGAATAAGGTTGTGGATGTGTTTTCGTCCTCTTTTCGAAAATGCAAACGAAAGTTTTCGTCGAGTATATAAAGTCTCAGAATAGCCTCCGACACTTAGATAAAAACCTTAAAGATTCTTATTTTAGATTGCAAGCAATATTGAAAGTATCCATGAGATCCCATTTACTACCATCTAGACCCAGCTTCTCGTATCGTAATTATTTCTTTACAATTGCCTGTACATACAATATTGTTCCAGTTTCAAATTTAAGCCAGCCCTTCAATCAAAATGTCCAGATAGACAGATCGTAAGTCAAAGACAAAACTGAAATCAACTCGTATGTATGACACTGGTGACTCGATCTTAAGGCACTGCATTAAACAAACTTATGAGGAATCATGTTTTAAAGTAAAACTTGAAAAGGAAAGATATATTTTATTAAAATTGTTTCCTTGCCCTCGTAGATGAAGAAAGAGAATCAAGGAATCACCTTGATATACCTACCGAACAACCTCTATGCGGAATGAATTATCACTATGTGCGCATATCTGGATATCCGTATAACGTATTTTCACATTAAACAGTGCCGCTTGACCAAGAGAGGTAAATTGGCCTTCAGTACTATTCTAGAGTGGGGGGCAACCTCCTTGAGACAAGCGAATGGCAGACAGAGCAATAAGTTTCATTCGATTCAATTACCCCTGACTAACCCCCATGCCGCGAAGGCTTCCACCACAGAGGTTAGTCAGCGAAGGACATCCAGTGCAGCGTTGGTCACGGCTGCCCCACGTAATTAACCTATCAAGCCGCCAAGACGGTACTTCCCTATTAAACTAAAAATCACCATTAGCAATAATCTTGCTCAAATATCGAACGATACTTTATTTTCAAGAAGAGTTGGCGCAATTTCTTTTCGGCACAATCCAAATCAAGTCTGAGACGACATGCGGGACAAAGTACGCCCACACGCTACAGTAACCCGATGGACCCGCGTAGAACATTCAAAGACGGTGCACGGGGGACTATGGATCGATCAGTGAAAGCACCATCTCCATGAAGGCGAGTGTGATGGCGAAGTCATCACATCCTGTGAAGCGTGTCAAGAAAAACCATTTATCGTCGTCGTTATTATAGTTACGAATCACTACTTAACTATCTTAACTTACGAGAGCTAAGTAAACGGCGTACCATTCGTGATTTGTCATTCTTGCACAAAGTCATCTGTGGTAGAACTGATAGTATTTCACTCTTATCATCTGTGAACTTTCATGTACCTATTCGCACTCGTAGATTTCTTTTGCAATTTTACCCAAATGCACCATACCATGCCTCGCCAATGTCTGGGATCCAGCACCTTTGTAACGAGCTTTCTTCTCCTGATCTTGACATTTATGCAGATACGTTTTTAAAAATGGCGAAGCATTTATAGAGTGCGAAATTTTGTTTGCGTTTCTAGTATTGTGTTTTGATTTTAGCTCTTTGTGTTATCTGTAATGTCTTGGTATATGCGTGTATTACGTTTGTTAATTTTGTAGTTAGTACTGATTTATTTGCGCCTCAACAGAGAAACGCATCTTTAATGTGATTATGATTTTGTTTATAGTGTACCAATAAGTAGGCCTTCGTGACCGTTTTTTGGACACTAGCAGAAAATAAAGTATAGTATTATTATTATTAATGTTTTGGCATGATGTAGCACTCATGAAAAGTAGAAGCCCTTCAACGTTAATAAATATATCGCGTGCATTTTAGTATTTATGTTAAGGAAAGTCTTGTTAAATAAAACAATGTATGTTTGGAAATTTTAAGTTTTTTTTTTCTTGTCACTTAAGTGCTCTGAGGTGGGTGGCAAGAGAAGGTCGGCCGAAAGGCATGTATTGCATTTAAAAAAGGCACGTTCACCTTGTGACGTCCGCCACATCACCAAATATGTGCAGAAACGCGGTTTTCAGGATCACACTTTATTTCGGGAAAGTAAATGTGGGTTTGTCGGGTTCTTCGAAATTCACTTGTTCAACAAATTGATGAAAAAAAGAAACAAGTGTGTGTCTGTTGAACGTGTTTGAATTAAGCAATTATCTCTTTTTCAAAGGCATTCAGGTTTCTTTTAAAGAAACACTGATTTTATTTTCATTTTAACATGCGACTCTAAAATTGGCATGCTGACACGCAACAACCTTTGTACTAATTTCATAAATGATACTTGGCATTAATAGAAGAAATATGTTTTCCGTCTTCCTAGAAGTATGTAGAAACTAAGTTATGCACGCTGACAATAAAATAAATGAGGGGTATGCAAATGAAGGCTCAGGTGTATTCACTTCCCGGTATTCAGTTCAAAGCAGTATTTGTATACCACAATTATAACAGGCATTTCAAGCTCGACCCAGAACTCTAACAGAAGTGCATAAGTGATCACCGTGGATTAAATCACAATAAAACTGTTCAGCCCTATAATAGAAGATGTTTAAAAAAAAGTGCATAAGCAATCACGTAGTCTAAATCAAAATAGAACGGTTTCAAGCCTACAATAACACAGAAGATATATTCAAACATTGATTTCTGTTGAAGCGATTAAAGAATGAAATGGGCTTTCAGCGCGTGTGCTTAATTACTCTAATATGTGCCATTTAGAATCTTCATTGTAATATCCGTTTTCCAGTGAAAAAAGCAGCATGTCAATAAGAGTTTCAGCGTGTAACATAGTCGTCGGTAGGTTAAGTGTAAAATGGAAGCTCTCCTACCTCTTTCCACGTTAGCAGAGCTAATGTAGGAGAGGAGGCAACCCCTCAGTCAACTTTCCGAGGGAGGGTAGAGGGGCCCGTCATTCAGGATGGTGATAACCGATGATGTTCGTCCGATGGTAGTCCCCCGGGAGATCGAACAGGAAAAGAAAAAAAACTAAAACTTGTTCGATCTCATTGGACAAATTACGACGGCGGTAGGTTTACGATGGACATTACAAAACTCCCAAAATTAAAACCGATACTTTAGTCCCCCAGTCTCAAGAGCCGAATCCGCCTGATCTCAAAAGCCGAATCCCCAAGAATCCTCTCGACAGCCCTTTTCTAGACTCGTAGGGGCCTCCTTTCCCTCGAGAGACGGACTAATCACTTCAAATTTTCCCATTGTAACGTGGCACACTCTTACCCAATGATCAGCGAACTGTCAACGTGACCCCCCTCCGACACTTCAACGGTGAAACCCAAATTCTTTGTGGAGTCACCACATGCTTTCTTCGCCGTCTGGCTGGCGCCACCAAGTTAAGTTATTGCATCGACTAAAAGCGACGTTTTCTGCACTAAGCGGCGAAATACGCCGGACACAAGCACACCCTCTTAAAAGCTACAAGTGCGGACAGAAGCCCAAGGCAGGGGTGTTCCGGCGCCCCAAACTGAAACCCAATCCGTTCGTTAACGACCGGGGTCCGACACTTCTCCACCGAGCCCCGCGGCTGCTCGAAGCCCCCCGCGCTTGGGAGAACAACACGACTGCCCGTTCACGTTCTCACCCCTGCCGCGGGTCTACGAGCAAACGCCCAAAAATGTGCACCCAAACATAGGCAGATAAAAAAAAAACGATGCCGACGCAACTGTAGAAAGATAGACTTTTCTAAAACAAATCCTACTTATTTCTAACAAAATCCTTCGTTACTTAACACCCTCTATCATACGGTCTGCTACAGTGGAAAGAGGTTGGAGTAGCTTCCAAGTACTGGTTTGAGCTGAGCTAGTTAGTTTATATTCTTGGGTGGTGCCAGCTGAACGCTAGGAAACACAATAATCTACCAGCGGTTGTAAATTTCTGTTTATTAGTTTTCAGCTGATACCACGCAGAGTAGCTTCAACTCAACTCTTAACATGTCCCCGATTGTAGTTCTGCTAATGTTTTAAAGTGGCTTTTATTTGAGTAACAATAATATAAAAGTTTACTACGCATTTCTTCTGTTGTGTTTACGTGCTTTCTAGATGTGAAAATTATGCGCAATTTTCTAAGTTATTTTGTTTGCCACACTTTTGGTGCAATTGTGTAACTATCTCTCAACATCTCCTGTAATGGCTTTCAAAAAAAGGCCGACAGTATTGAGAAATAAATAAACAAAGACGCAGTAAAATGCAAGCGATTGCATGGCTTCCTGTGCAATTCAGCGCTGTTAGCAAAGAAAAGCTTACCAGACAAGAAATCGTGCGAATTTGTGTTACGTTCGTGTTCGGTCAAAAGCTATTCGTTTCAGTGTAAGTCCACACGCAGGCCACGCAACGAGGTAATGGGACAAATCAGCGTCAGTAGCGCAAGACACGAGATACTTCGGGTTGAGATTGGTTCAGCGACGATTGAACACGTACAGAAACATGAGGAACACGAAGCTGATGCGCTTTTGACGCTGACTGATTGAACTCATGAGCGTCGGCTGCGTCTAGATTTAAAGGAATACTCCGGCCCCCTCTGAAGCTATCCAAACAAATTGCATTTTCTGAATACCCAGATTTTAGGCTTCATGGTATGCTATTTATTGTCTAGAAGTTCAGAATAGACAGTGAGAAAAGAGTAAATGGTGATGATGCCGACACCA